AATAACACCATTAATAACAATGTTCAACCCCCCAGAATAAAAAAATATTGTTTATGTACTGAAGACTTGGTTTGTTTTCCTTGACAAGTCAATTAATCTATCATCAATGACAATAGCTACCTTTTAAATACTTTTAATTTTGGTACTTAAAATGTTTGCATTTCAAAATTATATTTCTATGGAGCTTTTAAATAATTTTTAATGCAACAGAAATCTAAATAACATATTTCCCACAGCAGTGGAATTTTAAATAACTTCAAATGCTGACTAAAATTCATTCCAATAATTCATCGCTTTAAATTTCTGTTCCTTGCAGATGATACAGGAAAAACCTTTTCTAATAATATATTTCTAATTCTACCAGGATATATTGACAAATAACCCGATGAAAAAATTGATACAGGCATAGATGGAGGAGATGATGTAAATAATTATTACGAAATAATGTGAAGCAGTGTTTGCATTCAAAATGTAATATGTTATACTTATGAAATTCTGCACTTTACTTTGGAACTGTACGAATTTTCGCTCAAAAGACTGAAATTTAGGATATATTAGTTGAAAATTTATTCATTACACTTTTAAGGAATAAAAACAATTCAGAATTCACCATACGTTCCATTCATAAATACGTAAAGAAACACGGACATACGTAAAAAATATAGCAAGTGTTTGCAAATAACATTGAAGAAATTTTACAATTAAAAAATGCTGTTTATTTAATTCTTTAAAATAAGAAATAAAAGCGCGAATATACGTTAACAAACTAAACTTTACATTACTGAGAATTATAACATGTAAACAAATTACAGCTAAATAACGAATTATTAAGCACAATATATGGTAGCAATTATTAAATGCACTGTTAAACAAATTAAAATGAAACATATATTAGAAAATTAAGCAAGTGCAATCGGTATGAACGTTAAAATAACTAATAAACAAAGTTCCACAACATTGCAGTTATACATATCATTCGCCCACATTCGACAGCCATGGAGATCACGAATAAGCTAGCGTAGGGTTGTTTTTAGTCGCCAATATTTCTTCCCGCGCCAAAGGTACACCATCAAGCATGCGCAGTAAGCGAAATTTGCTTAACACTGTTCAACTCAATGTGCGGCCTGCCATTACGTGCACTGTTCAGAGCATTAACATCAGCAAGACTTCCTGAAAATTTAAAAGAACTATTTTCAATTCAAGAAGAAAATACCTATCTGTGGACCGACAGTATGACAGCGGTTTACTGAATTCATCCATCGCAAATGCCCTCGTCGCAACTTGGATTTCGAGATTTGGAATCCCAGAGAAGATAATATCTGACCAAGGTTGACGATGACAGCCAACTCTTCTGATCCTTGAGCAAATACCTAGGCTTCAAGGCTAACAGCACCACAGCTTACCATCCATAATCTAATGGTTTAATCGAACGACAGCATCAAACTTTGAAAAACAGCCTAAAATACCACCTGTAAACGGCAAATTCTTCGACTGATGTCATACCTTTGATTCTTTTTGGCATTTGATCCACCATTAAAGATAATTTGCATTGTTTAGTAAAAATGTATTTACGGGTGCCCCTTGGTGAGAACTGCCAATTTTTGCCAGTACATACACACTGTTTGCGCAAGTCTATGACTTGCAAAAAACGCCACTGCACAAATCACAAGCCAAAGAATTGCACAAACTCTGTATCCACATACACATTAAGCCATTTTCACTTCAAAATAAATAAGTAAATCAGAGAATAGCACAAACTAGCCATTGTGCACTCCCTTTGTCCATGTACACATTGATCTATATTCACTTAAAAAGTCAAAGGAGCAGCCAACAAAAAGTATAAAATATCAATAAACTACATTTTAAATCAAACAATGAAATAACATAAAAAGGGAAATTCATTTTAGCACTACACAAAGAAAATATCCACTTACCTTATTTAGAAATTTCCGTATCTTCAGTCAAATAAAATTACTGAACCATATCCAAAAACTTCCTAAAATTATCTGAACTAGAATCTGTATACTGGTATCACCACATAAATTCACAAAAATAAGAGTAAAAAATGTCCTCCGACATTCAACCATACACGTTTCCTTTTCATAAACAGGACACTTATACAGTCAACAGTCTTTAATCCGGACTTGTCGGGACTTCGACGATTCCGGATTATAGATCATCAGTTTAAATCTGGTAAGATGGCATGCAAAAATTATAAAATTAAAAATATGAAACCGTAATTTATGAAATAAAGAGCAATTATGATCTAAAGGGTATCAACATTTACAAACAAAAAAAAAGCTTTATATATATATTTGTTTACATTATTAAACATTTCTTTCAACGCGTGCAAGCATAAAGCATACATTACGCATAGTCAAAATTAGAAAATTGCAACCAGAAAAATATTTGATGCGTATTTGTGATATTTATAATGAGGAGGAATTTGATTTAAATCATATCAAAGATGGAGTAGATCGAGATGAAATACTACATTTAGTAAGGAATTATAAGCCGAATAAAATAAAAACATCTGCCCTGAAGATAAGGATTGTGCTGACAGATCAACTTCCAGTTCATTGCGTGCCGCGTCCCCCCCCCTGCAGAGCAGCGTGAAATTGATAAACATATTTCAGAATGATTAGAGAATCAAAGGATATGCCTTTATCCATTTTTTGCAGCAATTCCACTTTTTGTTTGATGGACATCGAAACATGCTTTCGCTTTGGTGATCCTTTGGTAGCTCCAGAATCAGAAATTCTTTTAGACATAATCGAAAGTTCAAGCTTACTTTTATAAAATTGCTCTAACAGTCTGCAAAAAATAATAAGCCTGATCCAATTAGAAGATTAAGGAACTACGTAATCTGCAACATTAACTGAAATAGATAATTAGATCATTTTCGCTTAGCTTATACCCTCCCGTTAAATATTAAACACGCATGCATAAACGTATTATGCACATACGCAAATTTGTTATGCGCATGCGTTAATACATTATGTGTTGCAGCATGCGCAGAAAGTTTGTAGCTTTGAGGTCCAGATTAAAGACTTTTGACTGTATATAAACTTCAAACCAGTAAGCAAATTTTCATTTACAAACCAGTCAATTAATGTTTTTTCCTCTTTCATTCCAAATCGAGCAGAAACTTAATTAATCTTACCACATTCAGCCATTTTACCATGTAAACCACAAAATAACAACGTACTTCTTATCCAAAATCCGACACACAAACAAGCCTTTTCAAACCTTTTTCTCCCTCACTCAAATTCACTGCAATCATGCAACCAATTACGTCATAACAGTGTTTCATAGCATTCAGCTACTCAGGTTACCATAAATGACTTATAATGCAACGATAATGCAAGGGGCACTCTTAAATCTACTCTAACCCATTCTTGTGTATAGTACACCAATCTGTTTCCCTTGAGAATTTTTCAGTTATGCCTCCACTGTCATGCATTCAGATTTTATACAAAAATTGCAAAATCATATCTAAAACATAAAACCAACATCAACAACCAGACATGCAAAAAAAAAAAAAAAAAAAAAAAATTGTGTACGAGGACTTAGCAAATTGTTTACACATATTCATCTATAATAACATAATTTCATCTTCTCTTCAACCTTAGGCCATATTTAGTTAAACAACGTTTTGAGAAAATTTTCAATGTGGAAGTTCCAGGTAAAATTAAGAGGATATCGAGAGATATACTGAAAGCATGTTTCAGGCTCAAAGATGAAATAATAACAAATCTCCAGACACATGTAGCTGGTAACTCCAAAATCCTCACCCCCACTTCCTAGAGACTCTTCCAAAGATATTCATCCTAGAAACACAAAAGCTGGCCTGCATATCTGAAAGATTACATGGTTTAACGCTATCACTGGGAAGGGCGTGTGTGGCGACATCATTTGCATTAACAGAGCGCTACCTGTGAAACTCCCTTGTGTGCGATTTTCTTTTTGCCAGAGTGGCAACATTAAGCCTTCAAGAAGAAAAAAAAAACAATGACTGATTTTCTGTCTGTGTAATTTGATATCCAAAAAATGTAAATAAATATTAATTTTATTGCAGTCGGAACAGTGTTTAACATTTTCCTATGTTCCAAACTTTGGCCCTTTAGTAACTGTGGGAAGTTAGCATTTTTCAATCATGAAAATTCTAAATTGATGACCTAAAATCCAGAATTGCCCAAGTCCTGACGTCTGGATCTTGAACTTTGCATTATGCTGATAAAATATTAAGTACGAGAGATATGCTATACTTATGCTGTTATATTTACTAGAGTATTATAATTTCTATTATTTCAAAGCATTTGAATGATCTGAACAGATATACTAAATTAGATAGCTGTATTAATTACCCAGAAGACATTGCAACATCATGGTGGAAGGCTTTAAAACAAATCTCTTGTGCAAAAGCATCATGATCTTTGGAAACAATTTGTGATTCTGCTAGACGGAGATATTCTGAGTTGCAATATAATCAAGTTATGGATTGAATCATTCTGGCATATAGCTTCTGCATAAGAACAGAAATTATTAGGATGACCAGAAACAGTGCTACCAACACAGAACATAAACAGTTTCATGCAGAAGCCAATAATTAATCAACCAATAGGTAAGACACCAACAGCAATTATAAATTCCAAAATATATTTAATTAAATGTAATATTTCAAGAAATAATTAAAATGCAAAGTAAACAAAACTATTTGGCTCAATAACAGCCAAATACTTTTGCATAAGCACATTTTTTATGAACTTATTTTTTTAAAGAATGCTTATGTGAAGAATTTTTTAATATTAATAAAATACAGACCGAAATGAACTTTTACTTTAAAATTTATAAACCACATATATAAAGTTATCACTAAATACAGCAGCCACATACATTCACTACAAAGCATATTTTAAGAGTTTTCACGTTAATATACGTATTAATACATATATCAACTTCCCATTTGCAGCACTATATTAAAACAAAACACTGCTTACTCTGCAGTTAATCTTTCACATTCATCTTTGTCATGCTGAAATTCAGCCATGCGCTCAACTCTTGCTTGATGACGCCAACGAAATAAGCTGGGGGTATCAATATTAGGATGAGTATCATCCTCATCATCTGAAATCTGTAAAACAAGATCAAATCAAATAAAAATAATACTTCTAAAATACATATTTTATTACTAAAGTAATATTTATTCTTGTTCATTCATAGTAATAAGTCACGGAAGTGATTATCGAGAACATCTCATTCCCCTCAATATCCGTCATTTCTGATGTATTATGTATAGCATTCAGTTTATTTGAAAGCACCACAAGCAGTTTGGCTTATACAGCACTACTTTTCAACATTTTACAGTCACATGTAGCAGGTGTTACTGTTTCGTTGATGACTTATTCATAGTCTACAGTTTCCGAGGAACACTGCAGGCATTTGAAAGCCTTATTTTTAAAATTTCAGGAATACGGATTTTGGGCTGATCTTTATAATATGGTAACTGGAAGTTTGGCGACATTTTGGAGGCGATAAAGGTTACTACCTGGGACTTTGATAATAATGTGAGCAGTACTCAGTTCCGATTACGCATTATTTTGTGTGAGGGAACTGAGAGATCATGGGATATGTCATGTGATATTAATGGACGAATTATGGTTCTTTAATCGGAAAAGGGGGGAATTTGGAAAAATATCTGTGGCTGTATATTATTTTGTATTAAGCTTCCTTGTGTGTTGTGTGAAGTAGGGTTGAATAATTTTGGGATTGTATGGCGCTGTCTAAAGTGAATTCTAGATTTTTAATGCGTTTGTGTGATAATTCAAAAGAATTGTTTGAATGGTGCATGAGTGTAGGTTCATAATAAAAGTGTATCCACCATGTAAGCAAGATTCTGAAGAAGATTAGGTAAGTTAGTATTTTTAATTATTTGAGGATATTATTTTTATGCATTGTTCTAAATGTAAGGTGGAAGTAAAGTAATTTGGTATTATTGGGAAAATTGTTATTAGCAATGATTTAGTTTAAAGTAATTAGGATTGTAAGCTAATTTTTATTAATTTAATGTATGTGCTTATTTATATTTTAAGTAGTATTTTTGAATTTAATTATATTTTAATTAAATGATAGTTATTTGGTGAATTTTATGTTTGTAGGAATTTGGTATACGTTTTAGTTGAAGTAAACGTGCATGGAAATAATTTAAATATTTGACACTAAGTATTTGTAATGTTTGCGGTATGAATTTGTTGGTGACGTTTATAATATAATAGATAATTTAGAGGTAAAAGTTTTTGGATATTTTATTTATTTTATATGTGGAAATGTTCATATTTGGAAAGGGTATATACTTTTTCGTTATTAGGTAATTTCATATATGTTCTTTTTAACGGGTTTAAAGATTCAGAACATTGTCATGCATTTTCGTGAAATTTTTCTAATTTATGAGAAAAAAGCAGTGTACTTGGATATAGTGAAGAGTGTGCGCAATGCCATTTTTGTGCAATTCTGGGATGTTCTTTTAAGTAAAAATAAGTCGACGTGTACGTGGTTTAGTGATATTTTAATTAAATGATAGTTATTTTGTGAATTTTATGTTTGTAGGAATTTGGTATACGTTTTAGTTGAAGTAAACGTGTATGGAAATAATTTAAATATTTGACACTAAGTATTTGTAATGCTTGCAGTATGAATTCGTTGGTGACGTTTATAATATAATAGATGATTTAGAGGTAAAAGTTTTTGGATATTTTATTTATTTTATATGTGGAAATGTTCATATTTGGAAAGGGTATATACTTTTTCGCGATCAGGTAATTTCATATATGTTCTTTTTACCGGGTTTAAAGATTCAGAAAATTGTAATGTATTTTCGTGAAATTTTCTAATTTATGAGAAAAAAAGCAGTGTACATGATATAGTGAAGAGTGTGCGCAATGCCATTTTTGTGTAATTCTGGGATGTTTTTTTTAAGTAAAAAAAGTCGAACGTGTACATGGTTTATGTGTATGTGTTATTTTGAAAAACGCGTAAGGAGTATGGTATTGTGCACTTTTTCCCAATTTTGCAGTGAATATTTGTCATGATTAAGCAGTTTTGTTAGATAAAATTTCTAGCATAAGTGTAACTCGGCTAGTAGATTGTTGGAAGAAGTGTTCAGTAGATAAAAAGAAAAGAAACATGTCTTTACTTCGTGAAGACAAAATGGCGGCGGGGAGAAAAAAAATAGAGGGTTGCTGTAGGAGAGTTGGTTGCCAAATTTTTGCCAAAAAATCGCCAAGTTACCATAATCTAAAGATCAGCCATGTTTTGCTTAGATGTTTCATAATGTTTGGTCAAACACGTATTGATTTCTTAGATTTTTCATTTCACCGAAAATGGAATTGAACCTCATTTTGGCAAAGTAAAATGTATTTTAGATTTTCCTCAACCAACCACCTTTTATTCAGCTTTGCTGATTTTTAGGCATATTTAATTTTTACATGTTTCATACCTAAAGTAGCACATATTCTTTCTACTTAAATAAAACTGTTTGAAGAACAGTTCAATAAAAAGAATTCTCTTGCTCGTGTTTGAAATTCGTCCTCATTAAATTGGAAAGAAAATGCAACAGAAGCTTTCACTGCAGCCAAAAATGCTACTGCTGAGGTCACCCTTTTGATACACCTTATTCCCAAAGCCCAGTTAAGCATCTAGATAGATGGTTCAGATATTTCAATCAGCGATACTCTTATGTAGTTGTCTTAAGAAACATGGTAACCTACAGCTTTTTTTGCTAAATAAATTCAATAAAAGTCAACAGAAATGTTCTGCATATAATAGAGAATTATTTTCAATTTGTTCTGTAATTAAGAAATTCCAGTAATATTAAAAAGCAGTAATTTTAAAATTTATATGGCCAGAAAAACTTAATAAATGCTTTTAAACAGATGTTTGTCCCCACAAAATTTTCAAATTTTCTTTGTAATACAGAGTAAGTCAAAATGAATATAGTGGTTACAAACAGCTATAACTATTTATCGGAAAAGAATTTATCGATAAGAGTAACACAAAATGTAGACGAAACTACAAAATTTCTGTATGTAACGTGCAGTGAAGCGGAAGCCTACGTATGTGAATTGAAACTTTGTAATGACAAGAAACATGTTCATTGCGACTGTCTCATTAGTAAAAATGGCAAGTCCCATACAGAAAGCATTCTGCATGTTAGAATTTGAAAAATTCTGTTACAACAGTGCAGAGAAGATTTCATCCACGTTACAAACAAGAACCTCTAAATGCGAACAACATACGCAGATGGCATCGGATGCTTAAAGAAACAGGATGTCTGTGGAAAGGGAAAAGTACCGGAAGGCCACACGTTTCAGCAGATAATTCACTGTACATATGAATGAAACCCACCAAAATCGATGTACAAAGGCAGTAGGGAGTTACAAATGCCCCAAAAAATGGTATGGCATGTTCTCAGAAAGAGGCTGCAAATGAAACCGTACATCATACAACTTGAGCAGCAATTGAAACAGGAAGATGACGGCAAACGTATATTATGCTATGTTTATGCCGGAAAGCATGGAGGATTAAACTATGGCTGAACGTCTCATTTTTAGCAAAGAATCAGTCTTCCACATAAGTGGGAAGGTTAACTGGTACAGCAGTCGAATATGGGGTACGGGGAAGCCTTCCACTGTAATTGAACATGAACGTGACATAGCGAAAGTTAATGTCTACTGCGTGATCTCATCACATAAACTGTAGGGTCCTTTTTTCTTCAGTGAGCGAAGTGTGACATCAAATGTTTAAATGCCACAGCTAGACTCTCATTCCACAGATTACATCTTTCAGCAAGATGAAGATCCCCACACCTGTGTATGGAGGTTCGCACATTTTTAAATCAACATCTTCCAAAGCGTTAGATCAGTCAAAGTGGAGCTGCCGACAATGTCTTCTACTCTTGGCCACCGAGATCTCCGGACTTGACACCCTGCAATTTTTTTCTATGGGGTTATGTGGAAGATAGGGTGTTTGTGCCTCCAATGCCCAAAACAATTCAAAAACTCAAGCATTTGTAATGTGCTTGCGCTGGTAACTGAACAAATGCTTCAGAATGTATGATATGAAATGAACTACTGCCTAGATGTTGTCCGTGTGACCAACAGAAGTCACATAGAACATCTATGATGTATGTATAAAAATTTTTGAAGTTTCCTCTACATTATGTGTTAAAGATAAATTTGTTTTCGATAAATAGTTATAGCCATTTGTAATCGCTATATTCATTTTGACTTATTTGGTACATTTACTATTCCTTTATTTCTACAGGGTGTCTCAGCACGACGTTTCAGAACTTCTAGAAGGGATAGAGTGCAACCTAGCAACTCAGAATCATACAAAGTAGATTTCTTTAAATTGAAGAAGTAAATGAAAAGTTCCCATACTAAAAGACGCAAAGCTGTGGTAGTCATATAACTGTTTGTACTAAATGTTATGTGTCTTTGTATTGCAAATACTTGAAAGATTTCCATGTATCTCAAAAGTAAAGAGTTTTGACTGGCATTGCATTTCTGTAACATTTTGTATCTTCAATAAAAATTCTTGAATGTGTACAGGTTCATAATAGATTGAACACACACGTCATATTGACATATTTTACCCGTTCAAATATTCAAGAGGATAATTATAACTCTATTTTGGCCGATCATAGAAAAGATAGAAACGGATAACAGAATAGATGGAAATAGACGATAAAAATGGATCTTTATGAGGATCTTGCGCAGTTGTCATATTGTGTTTTAACTGATTGCTTACAAATACATTTAGGTAACATAACTTTAAGAATATAACATTTATGTATAGAAATATTTCTTTATGTGAATTTTAGAATGAATATTACAAAAAATATTTTTCAGAAAGACAATTTAAAGTGGAAATTATTGTGCGATATTCATTTTAAAACAATACTTTCCTCCTTAAAGTTGGTATTTTCTCCGTCCTTTCTGCAAGCCTTCGTGGTGTAATGTAGCACATTCGGTGTATATTTGAGAGGTCCAAGGTTCGATTATTGGCTAGGGCTTTGCTAATTTTTTATGCGTCTCCTCCACAAATAACCTAATGTTCTACAGTGGCATCCAAACTAAAAAAAAAAAAAAAAAAAAATGGGATGGATGATGATTCTTTACCACCAGGATTTGGCAATTGGGTCTTCTAATTTCCAGTCGGCCTTTAAAAGGTGGAATATATAAGACATTTACTAACTTCTCACTGCATTCTTCATGGTGTAATGGTAGTACTCTCAGCGCATATTGGAGAGGTCCAGGTTCGAATCCCGGCGAGGGCACTGCTCATTCTTCATGTCCTTAGCATAAAAAAAAACCTAATCACTCTACAAATCAGTCTTTCTGGAAACAATATTTGGTTTCTTATATAATATTTTACAAAAGGGATTTATAGAAAATTTAATCACTTATTCTTTAAATTTTGCTTTAAAAAAAGTGTATTTAATGTGTTTCTCTTCAAGGTATGCTAGTTAGATTACTTCTTATCTTTCTTGTAAAATATTTACAAACAAGATGAAATGCCCCTTTGCCACTGCCGATTGCAATAAAAAAGGGAGGTGCACAATTAGATGTTACACCAATCCCATACAGAAACTTTCAACATTCTACGGTTAATTGTTTTTGAGTTATGTGATATACATGCATATATACGCACATATACGTCGCGCAAAACTAGTCATAAGTCCCAAATATAAAATTTCAACATTTTATGGAAGTTATGCGACATACATACGTGTAAACATCATGATGGAACTAATCAAAATGGAAATTTCCTTTGGAATATGAAAATCAAAATTTTTCACGATTACAATACATTATTTATTTCTCACAAGTCAAAACGATGTCATAAATAACTAACTACTAATAAATTTATGATGCAATCAAAAGAATTATTTTAATCTAATACTTTAAACTGGAATAAATTTAAAGTATTGGAAATTTAATATAAACATAATATTAAAATAAGTTGTGAATAATTTGTATTCGAAAAATTGGAACACGAGAGAAAAAATTCTCACAAATTCCCTTTGAGTATGTAGGTACATACAAGGGTTGCTATTTATATTTCAAGCCTAATAATGAAAAAACGGTACAACTCTGATATACGCCCTAATTTCACCAAATGTGGCGATATGTGTTCTGCGCTGGTTTTTGGCTCTATAGCGTGTTCTATGGCAACCCTGTTGACGTTGAACAATCTTTAGCTGGAGCTCGTTGATTCGCGTCTGTGTCTGAGAAGATGGGAGGGAAAGATAAAGAAGTTGTTGAATTGAAGTTCGGCAAAAGGAAATATCATTGTGGCCATCCTGTTGAGGGGTAGTGGGTATTTGGAGGTGTGGAAGGAGGGTCTGGGAGATTATTTTTAATGCCTGTGCATGATAGAAGTAGGGATTTGTGATTTTATTTATTTGTGAACCATAGTATGAATTTTCTGGAGTGTGTCTGGCTGTAATGTAAATACGATAGTGATTACGTGGCGGCATGTTAAAGGCGGTATGAAATTGGCATTTTTGCTGCTCGAAAAAGCATTAATTCATAGTAAGTGCATTTTATTTTATTCTTGTTCTTATTTTGTAGAATGTTATGTTCATTGGTTATTTAGTATGAATTTCTGTCGTTATTGTTGTTTTTGAAACAAAACGCTGTGTACATGGTATTATTTGAAATTTATTGTTATTATGTTATTTTACTAAAGCGAGGTGTGCGTAGATCGTAGATTCGTTCCTTGCCTAAATTGTGCAATTCGTAGATGTTTTTTTAAGTTTAAGCAGGATGCTGTGTACACAGTATTCTTTGAAATTTATTGTTATGTTAATTTATTAAAGAAAGGTGTGCATAGTTCGTAGATTCGTTCCTTGCCTAAACTGTGCAATTCGTAGATGTTTTTTTAAGTTTAAACAGGATGCTGTGTACATGGTATTCTTTGAAATTTATTGTTGTTATGCTAATTTATTAAAGCAAGGTGTGCGTAGTTTGTAAATTCGTTTGTTGCCTACATTGTGCCATTCGTAGACTTTTTTTAAGTTAAAACATGTGGCTGTGTGCATGGATTCTTGACAAATATTTTTGGTTAGAAACTTTACGTTTTTACTATCTAAATTTTTTGTTTTTGTTTCGGATTTTTAGCTTAAATCGTGTGTTCAAAACGTAGTTTTTGCATGTGCGAAAACCGCATTTTTGGAGACATTTTAGGCTTAAAGTTTGAAATATAAACAAAAAATTTAGATAGTAATATAGCAGCATGAAGTTTCTCGCCAAAAATGTTTGGCGAGAAATTTGGCGACTTGAGGGCGCATATCAGAGTAGTTCCGAAAAAACAAATGTTTATGATCGAAACTGGTATTGTTTTACAAAATATTCTCTATGAACATCAATACACTTTTGCATGCATTTGAATCAATTTTTTATGTACTTTTTTCACTCTGATTGAGGTAACTCCAAAACATGCATTTTGAATGCATCAACCACTTCTTCGGGTGTCGCAAATTACCGCAACACGTAATTTATTTTTTATGTGCGGGAATAAAAAAAAGTTATTGGATGCCAAATCAGGGCTGTACAGTGGATGACCCATCAAAAATTCCTTTGTTTCAGCTGATGTGCGAGAGCTAGCATTGTTATGATGTAGAATGATTCACCTCTTCTGCTTTTTTTGAATTTCTCCAATGACCTTTGGCAAAGAAATAGTCATGTACCATTTGGAATTGATATCCTGCATTTCCGCAAATATATTTTGACAAAGAAATAGTCGTGTACCCTGCTTCCTGGAATTGACATCCTGCATCATTGCATCCAGTGCCATTGTCACCATGTGGCCGGTAATGCCGAAGAAACAGTCAACGATTTACTTCTTCTGCAAACAACTTTGGAACTACTCTTATATGCACCCTCAGGTTGCCAAATTTCTCGTCGTACATTTTTCGTGAGAAACTCTATGCTGCCTAAATATATATTACTACTTAAATTTTTTGTCTACATTTCGAAATTTAAGATTAAAATGTCTCCAAAAACGCGGTTTTCGCACATGCAGAAACCACGTTTTGAAGACACAATTTAAGCTAAAAATCCAAAACAACAACGCACAAAAAAAAAAAAAAAATTAGATAGCAAAAACGTAAAGTTTCTAACCAAAAATATTTGACAAGAATCCATGCACACAGCAATATGTTTTAACTTTAAAAAAAAAAAATCTATGAATTGCGCATTCTAAGCAGCGAAGGAATCTACAAACTACGCACACTTCGCTTTAATAAATTAACATAATAACAATAAATATCAAAGAATACCATGTACACAGCGCTCTGTTTCAACTTCAGAGTTTAAAAAACATCTACAAATTGCACAATCTAGGCAGCAAAAGAATCTACGAACTATACACACCTCGCTTTAATAAATTAATATAACAACAATAAATTTCAAAGAATACCATGCACATAGCGTTCTGTTTCAACTTTAAAAAATATCTACGAATTGCACAATCCAGGCACTGTGGACTAATCAACAAAATAAACTAAAATAAATTTCAAACAATTAAAAAAAAACTATAACGACAGAAATTCATACTAAAAAAAATGAACATAACATTCTACAAAATAAGAACAAGAATAAAATAAAATACACTTACCATGAATGAATGCTTTTTCGAACAGCAGAAATACCAATTTCATACCGCCTTTAACATGCCGCCACATAATCACTACCGTATTTATATGACAGCCAGACACAATATCCAGAAAATTCATACTATGGTTCATAAATAAATGTTCTAAACCTTCTTTTCCTAAATCTTTGTAAAATTTCCAGCCATCTGAAAAAATAGTTGTACAAGGCTCAATCCACTTTTTAATACACTGCATCAGCGTTTCCTTACTTCTACCATGCACAGCCACTAAAAATAATCTCCCAGACCCTCTTGCAACCACATCTCTCATTCCAACATAGGCCATTTCAAAACACGCATGACACAAACCAATGAGCAATTAAACCAGTTCAGCAAAAGACTTTTCAACGCCAAAAAGGTTGGCATACAACATGCAATCGCACTAAAAACCAGCACAGAACACATATCACCATATTTGGGGATCTTTAGGGCCCATATAAGAGTAGAGCCACAATTTTTTTTGGATTTGACTCATCTTAGAAGACCCATACAGTCAACTGCTGTTTTGTTTTGGGCTCATATGCATAGATCCATGATTGGTCACCTGTGTAGATGTTATACACAGACTTTAATGCACCTTGAATATACTTTTTCAACATTTCCTTGCACCAATTAACACGAACCTTCTTTTGAGCATTTGTCAGATTACGCGGGAGGTTAGACTGGAGATATCTTATCGATGCTTGTCACTCCAATGCCCAAAGATGCCTTAATCTCACAGTATGTCACATGACAATCTTGCTTCAGTTCACTCCACAGCATCGATACTTCCTGGCACAACTGATTTTAAACAACTTTCACTCATCCTGGAGTGAACATCGACAATGACCGAATTTGTTATACCAGTTTTTTACAGTGCTGTAGGATGCTGTTTTATCACTGTATAAAGGATTAAGTTCATCGCAGCACTCTAGTCTTGATAATCCACATCAACAGATATGAAAAATAATCGTACGAAAATGTTCTCAAATTGATTCCATTTTTGGTGTTGGCGATAATTTTCAAAGTCGCGCCAAGGCTGCACTGTATACTAGGATTTTACCCATAAATGTCTATTAAAGGAAACCTTGCATTAATTTTAAACGACAGATGCACCAATTACTATGATCACGATACTTACCCAACTTCAGTTTAAAATGTTCAAAAGAGTTGTATTGTCGTATATGCCAAATTACTATCTTACCTCAATATTCTTCCACTTGCTATAGTCCACCATTTTTTTTTAATTAAATTAAATGTATAACACAGTGAAAGCAAATTAGAGACCTTCTATCAGTTTCAAAGCATCAAACTTCTACGCGCCCGTCGTAAGTTCGAGATGCTCTTGTGAAAACGAGCAAGCATTTCACTTCAAATCAATTTTTGTTTAAAAAAAAAAAAAAAAAAAAAAAAAAAAAAACTACATACAAGCAGCAAAAATTAAAGAAAATCTCCGAATATAAAATTTTACTTCCTACCAATCGACTAATAGAAATATTTCTTAAATATGATAAAAATTCGGAAACTTTGTTGTCTTTCAAAAAGCTAATCAAGATTTTAAAACGTTTTTTAAAGCAATGATTCCGTTGTACTCAGATTATCAAATATTACTTTGAAACGACAAACTTTTGATGAAAGATCTTGTTTTCATTAAGTACTCGTAAATTATTTGTGAAGTTTTCCAGGATTTTTGTCTTGTTTCAGAGTTTATTGCTTTCATATTTATTTAAAAGTGCTCTAATTCCTCTTATATTAAATTCTGAGGTTTGTCGGCATTAAACAAGAAGCGGCAATTCAGGTTTGGTTTGTTTTGGTTTATGCGATTAAGGCAAAGCCTCGAGCGATATTTGCCTAAGAGAAAGGATGCCTTCGTGGATGACTTTCAATCCACAATCCAAACAATGGGTAAAAAGAGGAAAGCGGTAGTTAAAAGGAGAGAAAGCTAGAGTTTGAAAGAAATTGACCGGTATTTGTGTTATACAAAAGAACATCTAGAAAACCTTACGCAGTCAATCCATTCTACCGTTGGAAATAAAACTTGAATTGAATTTTCGGTACTAAGGTATTGTTCTGTTGACCGAGAAATTCGCTACCATCGAATCATGAAAGTTGGTGGATACAGCTTCTTCGACTGGTGCAAACACCGTGTGCCGACGTACCTCCATCGAGTAAATAGTTACTTTCGAATTTACTGTGAAGTAGCACAGATGCTTCTAAATGCTAAGGAATTAAAAAAGTTCTAAGCATAAAAGTACCGTTGTCACATACTACTTCTCTTACGAACGAAACTTTTTTTTCCCAGTGGCGGACACTTGCCTATAACGGTATGGGTCACTACTAAAGCCAGAAGTGGTGGTCATTTTATTGTGGAGGCAACTACAAGAGGCAGCCACTGCTACCTCCTATGAAGGGACAGACAATTTTACATCCATGGCTTCTCCGGAATTCGAACCCCACGCCCTTTGTTATTGCAGTCAGGCTTCCCTAACTACTAAGGCTGCTAGTATAAAGGATATTTCTCGATATCGCGAAAGCTTTTGACAGGGTATGGCATCGAGGACTTATTTACAAACTAATCACTCTCAATTTTCCAGATCATTTTATTCGCTTAATAGCCTCTTTTCTCAGCTAGAACATTCAGAATCAAAATCGGTACTGTTTACTCTACCACCAGAGTAATCAATGCTGGTGTCCCACAGGGGTCGGCACTTTCGCCGTACCTTTTTAATATTTATACACAAGATATCCCTAAAGACCCTTCTGTTCATCTTGCACTTTTTGCCGATGACACCGCCATACTTACTAAAGCCTGCACTGTTATCGCCGTAAGAAACCAACTCCAAAGCTATCTCATAAAACTGGAAAAATGGCTTACCCTTCGGAGGATTAAAATTAACACTGATAAAACTAAGGCAATAATTTTCCGTAAAGGAAACATGAAATACTATCGTCCAACCCTGAAATATTTAACGAAGAAATAGACTGGATTAATGAAACCAAATACCTTGGAGTCACCCTTGACCAAAAACTTACCTTCAGAACCCATTTCCGGTCCGTAGTACAAAAATTTAAAATCACCACAGCTACTATGCGACCTCTTCTTGGTAGAAAAAGCAACTTATCTACAACAAATAAATTAATTCTATATCGTTCCATACTGCGCCCAGCTCTTCTTTATGCAGCACCGATCTGGGGACATGCAGCTAAAAACAATATTAAACAATTACAAATTCTACAAAATAAAATTTTACGAGAAATTATTAATGCCCCTTGGTATATTCCCAACATCTATATCCACAGAGACCTTCGAATGGAACTTATTCAAGAGTATATTAAACGATTAGCGGTCAACTTCTTTTATTCAGTACAAACCCACAGTAAAAGCCTTATTAGCACTCTCAGACACTCCCCGCGTCCCAGAGAAAAACATCGCTACCCTTGTGATATCATCCCCACATAAGATTCACAACCTTAATTGACTCATTCACGCAAAACTGACTCTGCGGTTTTACCACCCACGGCTTCATCTTATAACGACACTGAACTTGACACCCGCCTTTTCTCGCCGCCACTAGTGTGGACCTCACTCTCTTTCATCCGCCTCCCACACTCCTTTCACCCTTCTCTCTCTCTCCTCCTCCTGCTCTTTATCAGAAGTCGAGTAAAAAGATGTTTCTACATCTTGACACTCGAGAATAAAATACGATCTGTGTGTGTGTGTAGTATAAAGGATATATATATATATATATATAATCTCTAGTAGCTCTACTAACTACTACACCGTCTGAGTGGCACGAACGAAACATGTAAGGCGAGCTGTCGAACTGGTGAGTATGTAAACAAAAATAAAGTTAAACATGCGGTGAGAGTCTTAAGGGCGGTGCAAGTCTTAAAGGCATCATAATTTTAACATAATACAAAATCATAAACAGATTCAAAATGCAAAACGGAAAGCATAGGTACAAATATACACTTCATTCTAAATTCGACCTGCTTCGTTTTGAGCTCCATAAAAAACACCGTTGAGTTTTCGTTGATATCTATTGTTTTGTTAGGTTTTCTGATTTTGCCAGACGCTGTCTTTAGAACCTATGAGTGCCAATGTTTTGCATATAATTTGTCCAATTGTTTTATTGGCTATATTCAATGTCCATTAATACACTTTTTGAAGGTAAGATTCCATAACGTTGTAAATAATGCACTGCTTGCTGTTCTGAAGAAGGCATGTTCCAAACTTTAATCTTTTTCTCCCGAAAGGCAAGAAATAATACGTCAGAAAGTTTATTTATATTCTTATTCATAAAAACAAAGCTAGCTTATCGAGAAAATCAATTCAAAGCCAACTAGATGCGAAATAGATATCTAGTTGGCCTTGATCAGTCTGAGTTACTACGAACTAGAGCTACTAGAGATCTTTAAGTTCTCCAAATATAGTATAGGTTATTTATAGTAGCGTGGTCACAAAAGTATTCGAACACCGGTACCCTATCAGAAAATGACAAGATGGCGTTTTATTTTCTCTTTCTCTCTGTGTGTCGTGTTATTCCATCCTAGGTTTTCTTCTCCCCCCCCCATCTTGGAAAAAACTGGAAAAAATTGGTTACGATCTCTTTTTGAATGGGGAGATGCCATTTTGAGAAAAAGCTGACGACCCTATCTTGGAGAATGAACATGACCGCTCTACACACCCTTTTCACTCTCTCTCTCTCTCTCTTTGAATTGGGAAGCCATTTTGGGAAAAAAGCAGACGACGACCCTATCTTGGAGAATGGAAATGAACGCCTCTCCCTCTCTCTTTGAAATGGAAAGCCATTTTGGGACCCTCTATTCTTGGGGAGGGAGAAAACTGAAGTCTGCATTTCGCTGTCTCTGAATGCGGAAAGCCCTTTTGGGAAAAGCGGACCCTCTTCTTCTGATCTTGGAGAACTGGAAATGAACGCTCTACACGATCTCTCTTTGAATTCAGAAGGTATTTTGGGACCTTCTAATGTTGGAAAACTGAAATGAACGCTCTACGCTTTTTCTCTCTCTCTCTCTCTCTCTCTCTCTTGAGATGAGTAGCCATTTTGGAGGATTCTCCACCACCATCCTAACCTTGGAAAACTGAAATGAACGCTCTACACCTTCTCTCTCTCTCTCTCTCTTTCTCTGAAATGGGTAGTCATTTGAAAACTCCCTAACTTTGGAAAAAAACAGAAATGAACGCTCTACACCATCTCTCTTTGAAAATGGGGGGTGTCATTTTGAGACCTCCCTCCCCTAAACTTGGAAAAAAAACTGAAATGAACGCTCTACACACTTTCTCTCTTTGGACATGGGTAGCCCTTTGGGGACCCTCTCCTCTTGGTAGGAAAAAAAAAGAACTGAAGTGAAGGCTCTACACAATCTCTCTTGGAATGGGATCCATATTTCGGGAAACGTGGATCACCTCATGCTGGAAAACTGAAGTGAACCACCAAGATTGGACTCTATATAATATTTTTTTTTAATTGACATCATGACCCTCCTCCAATTTGTTATTAAAAAAATTGTTTTTTTTTGTTTTGGTTTTTATCCCATTTCCGATGTGATTTCAGAAATGCAATTCCATAACAGTTCAATTTCATTCGAGGTTAAATGATCTAAACAGTCTTTGACCCACCCATCCGTATGATTATTTTCTTCTCCTTCCTGTTGCACCAAACCAAATTTTGTAAGTCCATATAATCATTCCATACGGGAAGGGCTGGATCCTCACAAGGCTGTCTTGAAACACTTGGAGTCTCTTTGGGATGAGTGGAGGGATCTAGGATGTCTGGACCCGGCTGCGATTCTACCTCCATGATTTCTGGACCCGTTGGAACTTGTTTACCCGGCTGAAATTCTACCTCCATGATTTCTGGACCCGTTGGAACTTGTGAACCCGGCTGTGATTCTGCCTCCATGATTTCTGGACCTGTTGGAACTTGTGGACCCGGCTGACATTCTACCTCTACGATGTCGGGACTTTTTGAAGCTTGTGGACCCGTCTGACATTCTACCTCTACGATGTCGGGACAGGTTGGAGAAGAAGAAGAAGAAGAAGAGGATACTGGAAGAGGTTCTGTCTGTGAGGAGTCCGAAAGAGGTTGCCTGTTTGAACAAGTCGGGGAAGAAGAAGAAGAAGCTTCTGGATTCTGAAGCGGATCTTGCACGCCAGGTAGGTTCCGGTAAGTCGACCGTTTTTTAAGAGGTAATTTTTTTTCTTCCTCCTCATCTTCAATTGTGATGACTTCAATTTCATTCCGTTGCCGGGTCGATTTTGTTTCGGGAAATAACGGTTTGGTCCAGCTCCTCTTATCATCTAAGGAAGGGATGGGTAAAGGTGGCGGAGGGTTTTCTTC